TTAATGCATGTTCATAATCTTTTATTAGTAAGTTATCTTCCACTTTTTTATATATATACAAGTTATCTTACGGGGATAGAATATAATATATACAATTTTTGTTTCATACCTTCCATATAATTACGGGGATAATTTTTTGAACAAAAATTTGTAAATGGTACAAACAATTATCATATATACAAACAAAAATTGAAGCACCACGCTATTATTTTAGAGAAAAATAAAAGGCAATCATCATGAAAATTATAATAGCCCAGTTGAATGAAAAAAGAGTACCAAAATTATAATAGCCCAATTATAATAGCCCACTATAATAGTCCCAATTATAAATGCTTTCAGTGGCCACTCAAACTAACAAACAATATTTGGATGAATTTACCTATCACTGTCTCGAAATTTTATAGTGAAATTTAACTTAGTTCTTGAAATTATTTTTAACTTTTAATTTATTGCAAGCTTCAAATTATATTCAAAGCACATTGAAAATAAACATTGTTATCACAACAGAAGGGTATGTGATAACAATGAAAACCATGGAACTATATTGCAAGTTCTCAACAGACATTTCTAAACACTTTCACCAAATTTGTAAGGATACAAGCAACTTACTACAATAAGCTTTCCAAAATTTCTGGTCTTTTTGCTATCTTAATGGCAGATGATGCTGCAGCTCCAGATGATATTCCAACCTACAACAATATTTAGATTTAGTTTCAATAAATTATATTGTCAATAAAGATACCATTTAAACAAGATATGTGCATCAGAAAACAAACATTATCACGGTTTAAAATAAGTTTGAATTAACTAGCAAAACATTAATTTTCCACACCCCATTCATTAATCTTGTCGGGCCTCAATACATCCAACCAGTGCATGATATAACCAGTACATCGAACCAAACTTGACCTATTATATAGAATAAAATAGAACTGAGTCAAGTTTTGAAAAAAGCCTATTTAGAAAATACTGTTAATCACAATTCTCGTGTCTTTTGGTTATATTTATATCAATTCATTGTTTAATTTGAATTCTAATGCATAGCAAGTTGGAAGCTCATCACGCACACATACTAACACCCATACAATCTAGATAATCCAACAAAAAGTTCATGTTTTTACAATTTTATAAACATTCACATTTAAATACAAAATTAAGTTCGTAAATCTGTCCCAATTAGGATAGATTATTTTCCGTCCTCAAATCTGTCTCTATTAGGGACAAGTTCTTTCGGTCTCTGTTAGGGATGGAAAAATTATGTCCCTAATAGAGACGAATTATTTTCCGTCCCTATTAGAGACAGATTTAGGGACGAATTTTATAAATCATATACTAATTAGAGACGAACAATATTCCGTCCCTATTAGGAACAAAATTAGAGACGGGTTACGAAAAATTGGAAATATTTTGTCCCTAAGTTCGTCCTAAATAGGGACAAAATATTTTTTCATCTCAATATTTTTCCTCTGTTTGCAGTTGTACGAATCCCTCTCAAGAGCTCCAATCGACAAACTGACAACACTTGCTTAGAGTATTATCTGACATAGGCACTACTGTCACTATCTTTCCTATGATTAGCTGACTTAGGCACTATTGTCACTACACGCACTCAATATCTGCCACAAAGGCGGCGACTAATTTATGCCATTGTCCCTTATAAATTTGATTTATATGTTATTTTTGAATTTTGCGAGGGAACATATTCCCTTACAATTTGCGAGGGAATATACTCCCTCGCAAATTGCGAGGGAAAATGCAAGGAAAATTATGAATTTTTCAGTTGTAATTTTTTGTCCTAGATCTTGCGAGGGAACTTCCTTCGCCAATATTTTCTCTCGCTAGTTTTCGTCACAGACTTATGATGTTTGCAAGGGATTTAATTTCCCTCGCAAATTGCAACGGAATTGCGACCTAACTGCAACGGATTCTGCGACGGTATTGTAGCAAGGGAAAATTCGCCTATTTTCCCTCGCAATTATTTTTTCCTTGCAAATTCCGTCGCAGTTTGCAAGGGAATTTTTTCCTCCCAAATTTCTCTTGCAAGTTTTAAAACCCCACCCAACCCCCGGGTTGACCCGGGTCAACCCTGGCCCCTTTCCTCTGAGGGTTGGAGTCACAAGTTGGACCCTAAACCAATCAATTAGATCGATTATGTTGAACCAACAGTTATATTTATTTTCATCTATGTATGGTTATGATTCCTCATATTCACACTAAATATGAGGATTCATAATCATACAAAGGTAAAAGTAAATATAAAAGCCGCCGTTAGATATGAATAATAATGAGTCAAGAATATGTCAAAAAAATCCCAGTATGATCAGATGGTAGATGAAGGAGATATCGAAGAATAATCAAAGATTGCTCTTTATTATCTTAAATTAGCGTATTTTCTAAAATGGTTATCTCCCTCTTTTCTTTACTCGTGACTGATTTCCATACTCTCTTATCATCAAAATGCTACTTACACACATTCAAAGTTAGGGACCTCAAGACTAATTTTTTTACAACGGGCTAAACTGCGGACCATAGTCCTAGAATTGATCAAAGTTAGGGTTTAGGGTTGATGCTATTCACGCACGTTCAAAAGGCTGTTGAACATCTTGAATTGGGAACCCTAGCTTTCTTTATTGGGCTGGACTTGACTTTTAATTAAGTGGTTAAAGCCAAACTACAAAGACCAATGCCCTTTCTGGTAGCATCGATCGGAAGCATGTGTCACTCTTCATTTAATTTGTACAGTGATGACGACGAGGGTGGTTGGAACATGAATCTTTCAGACATTTGTTTCTGTTTCTCACTATTGAACAATTTTTACACACCTTAAATATCAACAGAGTCTTATCTTTCCTATGACTAGCTGACATAGGCACTACTGCCACTACATGCACTCAATGTCTGCCATAAAGGATGCGGCGACATATTTAATGATTTTTTCTCATACGCATGATGCGGCGACCAATTTATGCCCTTGTCCCTTTTAAATTTGATTTATATATTATTCTTGAATTTTGAGAGGGAATATATTCTCTCTTTCCCTCGCAATTTGGGAGGGAATATATTCCCTCGCAATTTGCGAGGGAATTTGAGAGGGAATATATTCCTTCGCAATTTGCGAGGGAATTTGTGAGGGAAATTGTGAACTTTCAATTGCAATTTTCAGATCCTAAATTTTGCGAGGGAACATCCTTTGTCAATTTTTTCCCTCGCTGTTTTCGTCACAGATTTATGATTCTTGCGAGGGATTCGATTTCCCTTGCAAATTGCGAGGGAATTGCGACCGAACTGCAAGGGATTATGCGACGACAATGTAGTAACGGAAATCTTGCCTATTTTCCCTCGCAATTGTTTTTCCCTTGCAAATTCCGTCGCAATTTGCAGGGAAGTCTTTCCTCGCAAATTTCCCTTGCTATTCGTGACTTTTCCAGTAGTGATGCTTGATTTAAATCTTAGATTTTCCTTTGTTGGGCCTATCAATCAATGGACCCCCTTATATGGGTCCATAACAAATAGTATAATATCTTTCATACTAATATACATTATACAGAAAAATATTTCTGCAGTTACTGCAGATAAATTATCTGCATTTACTTCTAAAATGACGTCGTTTTGGGATTAAAAGATTAAAAAATTATAATTATAAAGACTATAATAACCTTGGAATAAATTAAAATTACAAATATATCATGATTTTCGCCCAAAATGACGTCATATTGAGCTTACCGCAGATAACTTATCATTTGCAGTAATTGCAGAAAAAACGAACCCTACATTATATATTAAAATCATAAACATTTTGTGTGCATCCATAATGTGAACGTTTAGTGAAACAAAATTATTAATGTCATAATCTTTATTTAGTAAATATAATAACTTTACGTACTTTTGAAAACTTGTGATTTAGCTATAAAAATCCCAATAATTAATGTAAAGAATAGTATATTATTTTAGCTTATGCATCACAACACTCTAATCATAATAAAACATTTGTAAGAAATCTCTTTCGTACCCCTTCATGAATACAGAAAGGGAAAAATGTTTTTGCTCTTGTTGTAGAAGAATTTTCTCTGCTATACTCATATAAAAGTGAATGAGTCATATGAAAATTTTATCTCTCTTCACTTTATAATGAGACCGCTTACTTTTATGCGAATGTGGCAGAAATTTCTTGTTCGATAAAAATAGAAACATTAAATGAGAAAGAAAACCTTATTTGGCTATATTTTTATTGTTTATAAAAAAATTCTCATTTATGCACAATTGTATGGAAAAATCTTTGTAGTAATTTAATTTTAATTCATTATTAATACGAATGTTTTCATACCATCTTTTAGTTAAATGTTGGCGTATTATAATAAAAAGTTTTTAAATATGTACTATTAAAGGGAAGTATTTTATGCTGTAATAAATGATAAAATGATAGTATTAAAATTTTTTATACTAATATAACCTACATATTAAAATCATAAACATTTTGTTTGCATTCATTTATTGTTTTCATTAAAGTTATATATATCCTTTTTTGGCTTTCTGCTGACATTTTAAATTAAATCAACTCTTGCCCAATCGCCGAATTAATAAACGAATATTTTGGTATCATGCGTCTTGGTTTCTTACTTTCTTTATTAGAAAAAGCAGATTATTAATTTATTATACGTTTATACCCAAAAAAGATTAAAAAAAAGAAAAGAATGCAGAGATCATTCCGTGATAAACTTCATTCGAGCTAGAAGTGGCCCCTGCGAAGTGCAAAAATTGAAATTCATTTGTTATATTACTTATCGAATTAATCCTTGGAATGTGCAATGTGTCCTTATGTCATTAATAAAGCTTCCAAACTTGGCACAACAATGGCCAACGAAATAATGCATGGAATTGTGTAGTTAATAGGATCAATAACGCTCTCAGAGTCTCAATGACCATAAAACCATAGACTCTTGGGTTCATAAAAATGGGCTCTTCCTTGTGAATCCAATTCAATGCAAACTTACCAAATAATAATGGGAAGGCGATGCTCATGTTCCATTGGAACCTTCTTCATTTTCTTCTTATTTTGGGCGTTGTGGTTCTCCAAGAACCAACTCACCCTACTCGTCTTGGGTCCCACCACAACCCACGCAGCAAACATCAACACGACAAGTTCCGAGGTTGTCCTCGACCCGCCGGAGAAAACCTTCTACGACGACCCACAACTGAGTTACTCCATCGAGAAACCCTTGAAGAAATGGGACGAGAAGCGAAGTGAGTGGCTACGGCTACACCCTCATCTCGTCGCCGGAGCACGTCACCGGATTCTGCTGGTGACGGGGTCGCAGCCGAAGCCGTGCGAGAACCGCATCGGCGACCACTTGCTTTTACGGTGTTTCAAGAACAAGGTGGATTACTGCAGGATCCACAATTGCGAGGTGTTCTACAACAACCTGCACGTGCACCCCAAGATGGACTCTTATTGGGCCAAGATTCCGGTGATCCGATCCGCCATGATGGCCCACCCGAATATTGAGTGGATCTGGTGGATGGATGCGGATGCAGTGTTCATGGACATGGAGTTCAAGCTTCCAATGGAGCGTTACAAGGACCACAACCTCGTTGTTCACGGTTGGCCTAATATGGTGTACGAGGATAACGAGAACAAGAGTTGGACAGGGTTGAACGCTGGGGTGTTCCTAATAAGGAATTGCCAGTGGTCCATGGAGTTGTTGCAGGTGTGGTCCAAAATGGGGCCATTAAGTTCTAACTATGAGAAATGGGGTAGAATCTTAAAATCTATTTTCAAGGACAAACCTTTCCCTCTCCCAGATGACCAATCGTCGCTAATTTATTTGCTCTATAGAGAAAGAAGAAAATGGGGTGGTAAGACATATTTGGAGGGAGGGTATAACTTGGAAAGTTATTGGCTTTCCATGTTGGGGAGGTTTGAGGGTATCAATGATGGGTACAATGAGATAGAGAAGGAAGTGAGGTCTTTGAGGAGAAGGCATGCAGAGAAGTTGAGTGTGTGGTATGGTGAGTTAAGGGAACCTTATTTGAGACAAAGAGGGTGGGAGCCACTAAGTAGAGGGAGAAGGCCGTTTGTGACACACTTCACAGGGTGCCAACCATGTAGTGGGAATCATAACCCCAGTTATGATGGGGATACTTGCTGGAAAGAAATGGAGAGGGCTTTGAATTTTGCTGATAATCAAGTGCTTCGTAATTATGGTTTTGTGAGGAAGGATCTCATAACCTCTTCTGTGTATGAAGTCCCGTTTGATTTCCCGCGGAATGACTTGTTACGGTGAAGGGCGTTTGTTATCTACAATTAGAAAGAGGAATACAATCTTGTTTGTGATAGGTTCATAATTTTTCTAATTCAATTGATATAAACTTGCTCAGTACCGGATCAAATTTTAGTGTGGCCAAAAGTTTAACCAATTAAGTGGTATTAAGACTCTTTGGCATAGAGAACTATACATATTGAGATCTCCCAGTGAATGTACACCGTGACTTTAGGCAAATCCTATCTGTAATGTTAAGGATTCAAAACTTATAACCATGCATCATTAGATAGTTTTGTTTAACTACTATCACGCCTAAAATCATGTGAGCAATTGGCTATACTACAAAAAAAAAAAAGGAGAAAAGAATGAAAATTACTTAACTATAAAAATCAAATTTTAAGTGCATTCTTAAATAATATTTACCTACCACTTCTGTAACACCCTATGTGCATCTGGTGTAATTACTCATTCATGGTATGAAGCGCAACATATATAATTAATAAATGTTTAGAAAACTCACTAACTTTGCCACTTACACCTGTTACTTAATCATTTGTCCCTATATAAAAATCTGAGTCAATTTTTTCCATTCTTTAATATGGTATTAAACTCAACTTAAAAGTATTCATACTCTGTTTCGAAAAAAAATAAAAAATATTCATACTCTATATAGATCCTACATTCACTTAGCCATTTTACAACTTCATGTCTTAAAGCTTAAACAACACATATGCGATGGGTGAATGCCTTCTAAGTTTCATGGAATGCATATTTTGATGATGACAAAGGGTTTACAAGAAGTCTCAAATTGAAGATGGAGGTTGAAGACATATGTAAGCATAGCCAAAAATAAAGTGGTTAGATTTCCTTATAACATATTTTTTATATCATTATTAAGTATCATTCTAAGCTCCAATGCATAACATGCATTTCATATTAAAAAAATAAAAGTTGGACTAAAAGTCTGAAAATGTATGTTTTTTTTAAAAAATTGGAAATGCAAACTTGGCGCGGGAACACTTACAGACTTGGCGCTTGAAGCGTCGTGAGAATATTATTACGAATAAAATATCACTTTAATTACAATTCTCATATCTTTTAGTTATTTTTAAATCAATTTCATTATCATATTCACTCTTAATACATAATAAATTAGAGACACATCAATAAGTGAAACTAGTAAAAATATTAGTAATGCATGTGGAAGAACAATATATATTGTTCTTCCACATGCATTACTAATATTTGGATCCACAAGAAAATAAAGATCCACCATATGACCCAATCTTGGATCTACCTGTAAATACACAAGGTCTAATGTAATATATTAGTAGTGGGAAAGAACCTTGTTAACTCTCAAGTTATCTCTTGTTGAGTGACATTGATCCCACAAGTTACAATAATGCACTAGAAGATATTGTTGATCAAGTGTTGCTCAAAGCTATGAACCAAGAGGTGGAATAATTGTGTTTCAACTCTGTTCGGTCTCTAGTAAAGGCACCAAGAGGGTAAGACCCACTAGGTGCATGTGGACCTAAAAAGCAAAGAGAGAATGGACAAGAAGGTGAAATCTTCAAAGCTAGCTTGGAGGCAATTTTTTGCAAGACGCCATGCTTGAGTCTATCAAGAGTCTCTTGATTGCTACTATAAATCTTAATTATGAGATTTTATTTTGGGAGTTGAATGTTAGGATATCCACATGCAACAACCAAAAATGGTTTATAGCAAATGGGCAGGAACATATGATATGCAAGTTGTGAAAGTCTATTCATAGACTTAAGTAAGCATCCAGGTCTTGGAACATCAGTTTTGTTAAGGTTATCAAAATTTTAATTTTGAGTAAACCTTGATGAATAGTGTATATTTGTTTGTAATGAATCCAATGGGAGGCCATAGCTTTTCTGGTACTTTATGTAGATGATATGCTCTTTATTGGAAACAATGTGGAGTTAATATCAAACATAAAGAGTTGGCTATGTAAGAGTTTTGGTATAAAAGTACTGGGGAAGCCAATTATATTCTTGGTATAAAACTCTTATATGAGATCGGAAGAATAAATTGTTGGCATCACCTTAGGCTACTTACATTGACAAAACTCTTGCCAAAATTCTACATGAGAATTCTAAGAGGGAAATTATGTTTATCAGAAGTGGAATTCGTCTTCCTAAGGAGTAACCTCTAAAGACTCATGAGAAGGAAGAATGCATGAGCTGAATAGGATACCTTATGATTTGGCAACAAGTAGTCTCATGCATACCATGTTGGGCATTAAACTAGACATCTGCCATGCAGTGGGAGTAATTAGACGGTACCATTGTAGACCTAGAGGAACATTAGATTATTGTTAAGTATGTACTCAAGTATCTTCGAAGAACGAGAGAATATATGTTGATATATTCTAGTGGGGGTATTGAAAAGCGGAGCTTTCACAAATTCAGTTTTTCAAGTTGATATTAACTCAAGAAAATCGACCTCGAGCTATGATTTTTCTTTCTCACTAAACTAAGATAACATTAGAGGTGGATCTTGCAGACCCAATTACTAAGAGTTTGTTTGAAATTGTTTTCAAGAGGCATGTTACTTCTTTGGGTATTAGGAGGATCCCAGACTTGCATTAAGCGAGTGGGAGATATTGTGTTCATTGTGCTCCTGGAGTAAGACAATGAAACAATGTAATCATTTTCTGAATTTTACAAATGATGTATTATTCATTGTTTTGTGCACACAATTTACAAACATTAAGGTCCGAATCAATTGTGGAGTATATGATCATTTGGATATGTTCATGGAGGACATGATCACAGGTTCTCGCGATTGAAGAATGATTCACAACTATTAAATAAAGTTGGGCACTTTATTTAGGCTGCAACATTTTATGAAATGGTTTGGTCCGAATGATTGTAAAAATTAGTGTGAATTAACTTTCACATTAAAAGATCAAAAAGAGATTTGATTAAGTTTGTTTTTCTGTCATAAGGTATCAAATCTCCAGATAATTATAGTTATGTAATTGCTCTTAATCCCGAGTTTATTGTAAATAGGTAATTAAATAATTCTCATTCTTTGATTTACCGATGGGTGATGTTCGATCTATTGACTGCCAACAACTCAGTATTTTGGGAGTGAGATTATTTGATTAGCAATATTTATGAGATAAACAACATAGAATTTATAGGATATGCCCCTTTGAAATGTTTCGATAGTTGGACATTGAAGACACTAGCCAATGCATGTAATCCATTAGAGAAACTATAATAGTCAAGGGAATAAATAATTTATTAAGTTACAGAAAACTTATCAATCAATTATAGACATTTTACAAAGGGGCAATGCATATTCATGTTATATGTGTTATTAATCTTGGAGTTCAAGTTCGGGCTTGTTCTGTCTGTATGACAGAGATGTCTAGCCAAGGGCCAGTGGATCAATATGGGATATTGTGCTTTCTCTAGATACTTACGAATTTGGTATCTTGGGGGTAACAAATCACTGTACACAATTATTAGGCCTTACCCAAAAAAGTGTGGTGGTGTGTGTGAACAGTGATTGCATAATAGTAATAATAGAGAGAGATTAGTCCATACATGTGGTCTTTAGCTCTTATTTATAGTGTTTACCTTAGGGTTTGAGCCATTTGGGCCTCCTTCCTCTAGGCCTGATCCGTTGTCTGTATGTTATTCAATAGTCCATTCTCTGTTGGGCCTCTCAAGTATATGAGCCTTATACAAGTCTATAACAATTGCCCCCCAGCACGGTAGGCTGATTGTCTAGGCTACCAGGGTGCATAAATTAGAGTTTTCCACTCCATTATTAAGATGGACCGTTTAGGTTATCGGTTTATAAGTCTTTCTTTAAGTCTTTACCCCAGACTTCAATGTGGATAATATACCTCATCTTTAAATGTAATCCAGAGTTTATTCTACTCAGGAATGATGTTCAAGCTCTTCAGCTCAAACTCTACTGCTTATCTAGATTCCTTTATACAAGTTGGATATCTACTAGTATAATTTGCTACCGAGATGCTTTGGTAGGGACCGTGTCTTCCTTAGCTCTGCATTCTCATCTCCTTTTACGAGTCCGAAGTAATCCCTCCATAGTTCTGGTCGGCATGGGATACTTTTTGTGCCTTAGCTTTGCTCAACTCTTCGTGTTTCATGAAATGTTACTTCTTCCAAGAAATGATAAATGCCTTCTACGCGGCCTTTCCTTATAGGTGTGACATGTGTCGTTGCCTTTTCCATACTGCTTCACATTAATTTAAAACTGTCAGAACGTCCCTCAACTGTCTTGTCTGTTGGATGAAATTACTTTTATATCCCTGTCTTTTCATTTTGCGAGCTTTATCCGTTTAATCTATTTTTCTTCCTTTTATCTTCTCCCATTTTATTTTTTGTCTTTTCTCCGAATTTTCCTGCATTGCTTCCCCTGTACTTCTTATTCTTCAATTTTCTCTCACAATACCAAAAGATTATATGCTCTATTCCAGGTTTACTTTACGAACTTCAACTTTTAACCACTTTATGTATTATGGTATGCTGTGATGATTATCAACGTATTTTTCTTGCTAATTTGTTTTATTAGTCATTGGTAAACTTCTTGTCATTCTTGACTGGCATTTTCTCACTGTATTGTCCGAATATGCATGTTTTGTTCTTTCTTCTTTTCATTTACTGCTTTCCATACTATTTGATACAGATTTACACTATTTGATATGGGTTTCTCTGGCTACCCATTCTTATTTTCCCTTTTGAAACAATTTCTTAGTATGAGTGAGGAAAATTCCAGTGGACGAGGAAAACCCACTTGCTCCCATGGTTTTGGCCGTAGCGATGAGATAGATGAAGAGGAGGAAAGGTTTATCCAAAGTCTTCCCCCTGGGTCCGAGGTTTTGGATCTTTTGAAGACCTCAGACCGAAGAAGAAAAGCAAGCGACATTATTAGGGGGATATCGAGGAGGTGGAGGTAAAGGGATATCATATTCTCATCCTTTTAACCGAGGACATGGTCAGAGCATCAGTCAC